CCTCGTTAACCCTCGTCGTTAGGACTTCTAGTTTGGATTGCATCTCATTCAATTGATTTTTAATTTCTGATTGGATCTAAATTCTGCAGTCATGAAGTCTCGTGAGTCTTTTATGCTTTTTTCTAGAGCCACCAGTAGCTGTATAATAGTGCTTCTGAATTGGCTTTCTGACATTAAAGTGTAATCCAGATTTTGTAACTCTGTGGGAGAGAGGACTGTTTCTGATTCTTTCTTTTGAGGTGAGGTTTTCCTTCTAGTCATTTTGCTCAGTGCAGAGTGGCCAAAAACAAGTTGTATTGGGAAAAGGAGAGAAAGAGAGAGAAGGAAAGGAAAGAGAAAAAGAAAAAAGAAAAAGAAAAAAAAAGGAAAAAAGAGAAGAAAAAGAGAAAGAAAAAGAAAGAAAGGTGAAAAAAAAGGGGGGTGGGGGAAGCAATCAGAAATCAAAAAGAAAAGAAAAAAGAAAAAAAAAAAAACAAAAAAACACGGGGGAGTATCTTCTGATTCTGTAGACTTTAAGTCCCTTGACTTCCCCTGGAACTGGTCCGTCCAGCTGGTCTTCCGGGGGAGGGGCCTGCTGTGCTGATTTTCAGGTGTTAGCACTTGGGGGAGCTGCTCTGCCCCTGCCTGGTGCAGGGCTCAGTGGGGGTTGTTTACCCGGTGAGGCCCCAGGAGGAACAGCCCCAGTTGCTATCGGCAGCTCTGGAGCCCTGGATTCAGCCCCTGCAGGAACTACGGGGCTCTCCGTCTGCAGGGCCTGGAGGCTCCGGGGCGGGGCCGCTGATCCGCTCAGCTCGGGGCAGGAGCGTCCTCGCTGTCCTGGGCCCTCCCGGCCTCTGCCTGTCCCGGGGGAGGCCGGATCCTGGGCTGTGTCCCGGCGCCCTGTGCTCCGGGGCCTGCGCTGTTGGATTCGCGCCCCCGGCCGCGCAGCCGCCTCTCTGCGGAGCCGCCGCCCGAGCCCCTCCGAGCTGCTCTGGGCCGCGCAGCCCCCTCCGCACGGAGCCTCTTCCTCTGCCCGAGCCGCCGCCGCCGCCGCCGCCGCCGCCGCCGCGCTGCTCCCGCCCGCAGCCCCCTCCGCGGAGCCGCTCCCGAGCCCCTCCGAGCTGCTCCGGCCCCGTCGTGCGCGTGCGCGCTGCAGCCCTTAGGGAGCTCGGCGCACTCTCCTGGGGCGCTGGTGTCTGTTAGTGTCCCCGGGAGCCCGAGGGCATCCCCGCCCTCCTGGGTCCTGCTCCAACTCCCTGCGGGCCCCTTTCCGCCCGGGAAGGTTGGTGCAGCTCCTGCTCCTCCGGGACGGGGCTCTCCTGTCCTGGGGACACTCGCCCCGGCCTCAGCCCGGCTCCTCGCGGGGCCCCTCCCCCTCGGAGGCCTTTTGTTCCTTTATTTCTTTTCCCCGTCTTCCTGCCTTGATAGAAGCGCGAACTCTCCTCACTGTAGCGTTCCAGCTGGTCTCTCTTTAAATCTCAGGCCGAATTCGTAGATTTTCAGGATGATTTGAAGGTTATATAGGTAATTTGGTGGAGACAGGTGATTTGGGGACCCTACTCTTCTGCCATCTTGCCCCTCCTCCTATTTCTTGTTTCTTGAGGTAGATCTGTATTGCTATAAACTTCCCTCTTAGGACAGCTTTTGCTGCATCCCAAAGATCTTGCACATTTTTTTTTCACTTTTATTTTTCTCCATGTATTTTTTTATGTCCTCTTTGATTTCTTGGTTAACCCAATTTATTGTTTAATGATATATTATTTAGTATCTATATTTTAGTTCTTTCCAGATTTTTTCTTGATTTCTAGTTTCATACTGTGGTGGTCAGAAAAGATACATGGTATGATTTCAGTCTTTTTGAACTTACGGAGACTTGTTTTGTGGCCTAATGTGATCTATTTTGGAGAACGGTCCTTGTGCCCTTGAAAAGAAAGTGTATTCCACTCTTTGGGAATGGAATATTTTCAGTATTTGTTAGGTCTATCTGGTCCAATGTGTCATCTAAAGCCACTGTTTCCTTATGATTTTCCAACTGCATGATCTATCCAGTGATGTAAATGGGAGTTAAAGTCCCCTACTATTATTGTATTACTATCAATTTCTTCCTTTATGTCAGTCAATAGTTGCTTTATGTATTTATGTGCTCCCATATTTGGTGCATATATGCAATTGTTATATCCTCTTGTTGGATTGTTCCCTTTATCATTATGTAGTATCCTTCTCTGTCTCTTATTATACCCTTTGTTTTAAAGTCTATTTTGTCTAATGTAAGTATTGCTACCACAGCTTTCTTTCAAATTCTATCTGCATGGTAAATGTTTTTCCATCCTTTTCAATCTGCATGTGTCTCGATCTGAAATGAGTCTCTTAAAGGCAGCATATAGATAGGTCTTGCTTTTTTATCCATTCAGTCATCCTATGTCTTTTGATTAGAGCATTTAGTCCATGGACATTTAAAGTAATTATTGGGGAAAAAAAGGTCATTATTGATAGGTATGTACTTATTGCCATTTTGCTACTTGTTTCACATCTACATTTGTTTTTGTCATTTGTTTTTTCTTCCTTTACTCTGTTCCCTTGTGGTTTGATGGCTTTTTATAGTGGTATGTTTGGATTCCTTTCTCTTTATTTTTTATGTATATGTATTATAGGTTTTTTTATTTTTGGTTACTATTAGGTTTATATATAATATATTCTACATATAGCAGTCTATATTAAGTTGATGGTTACTTAAGTTTGAACACATTCTAAAAGCACTAAATTTTTACTTCTCCTTCCCATGTTTTATGTATATGATGCCTTACTTTATATACTTTTATTTTATGAGTCCCTTGACTGATTTTTTTTAGATTTAGTTGATTTTCCCACTTTTGTGATTTAACTTCCATACTGATTTTATAAGTGATTAATCTACATTTGCATTTGCCTGTGAAATTTTTTCCTTTCATAATTTTCTTATAGCCTTTTTCCTATACTCAAATAATTCCCTTTAGTGTCTCTCATAAGCCTGTTTTAGGGGTGATGAACTCATTTAACTTTTGTTTGTCTGGGAAACTCTTTGTCTCTTCTTTTATTCTGAATGATAATGGTGCTAGTTAGAGTATTTTTGGTTGCAGGTTTCTTTCTTTCATTACTTTGAATATATCATGCCACTCCTTCTGGCCTGAAAGTTTCGACTGAAAAATTAGCTGATAGCTTTATGAGGTTTTCTTCATATGTAACTATTTTCTCTTTCTGCTTTTAAAATTCTCTCTTTATTATTAATTTTTGCCACCTTAATTATTACATTCTTGGTGTGGACCTCTTTAGGTTAATCTTTTGGGGAACTCTCTGTGCTTCCTGAATCCTAGATGTCTGTTTCCTTTTCCAGATTAGGGAAGTTTTGAGTTATTTCCTCAAATAAATTTTCTACCCACTTCTCTCTTCTTCTGGGGCCCCTATAATGCAATGTTATTACTCTTGATAATGTCATGGAGTTCCTTTAACTTATTCTCATTTTATTTTTCTTTTTTTCTTTTTGCTGTGCAGCTTTGTTGCTTTCCATTACCCTGTCTTCCAGATTGCTGATCTGCTCTTCTGCCTCCTGTAATCTGCTACTGATTCCCTCCAGTGTATTATTTTTTTTATTTCAGTTGAATTATTTTATCTCTGATTGGTTCCTTTTTATATTTTCTATCTCTTTGTTGAATGTCTTACTGAGATCATTCACTCTCTTCTCAAGTCTTTATGTATTTTTATGGTCACTACTTTGAATTCTCTATCAGGCATATTGCTTATCTCCATTTCATTTAGCTCTTGCTTAGTTTTGTCCTGTTCTTTCATTTGGGACATATTTCTCTGTCTCCTCATTTTTTCAAACTCTGTGTCTGTTTCTATGTATTAGAAAAGTCAGCTATGTCTCCTTTCTTGGCAAGTGGTGGCCCTATAAGGAAGAAGTCCTGTGGCACCCTTTAGCATAATGCCCCCTCTTTACCAGAACCAGGCACTTCAGAGATGTCTACTATGTGTGCTGCTATGTGTGCACCCTACTGTTGTGGCTGAGCTGCACCTAAACTCTACTTTTAGATAAATATATGGAAATTTGTAAAAATCATCACACCTTGATGAATTATCACATTAACTCTACTTATGGCTGTGTAACTAGCACCTCGGTTTAGAACTAGAATATTAACATTGCTCCAGAGGCTCCCTTATGCCCCCACTGACAATCTTTCTCTTTCCCAAAGGTAACCACTACTCTGACTTCTAGTATAGACTACTTTGCCTCATTTTTATCTTTATAAAAATGGAATCATGGAATAGATCTTTTGAGTCTGGATGATTTTGCTCAGTATAATGTTTATACAATTATTTTTATATTTCTGTGTGTTTTTGTTTATTCTCATTGCTGCATTATATACCATTGTATGAATAGACCAGAATGTATTTGTCCATTGATGGGCATTTAGGTTGTTTCCAGTATTTGGCTACTAGAAATAATGTTATGAATATTCTTGGAGGTGGCTTTCAGTGCAGAGCCATGTATGTTATCTAGGCATGTGGTAACAGTTCAATCATAGCACATGCATTTGTTAGCTTTACATGTACAGATGCTCAATGTTAGTATATACTATCCAATAAGTTCTCCAAGGTACATGTAATGATTTCCAGTCTCTTTACCAGAGTATGACAATTCCCATTGTTCCACATCCATACCACCTCTTGTTTTGTCAATCTTATAACATTTTAGCCTTTCTTTGAATATGCAATAATATCCCATGGTGGTATTTTATTTTTAAGTCTTTAATAACTTTTACAACATTGATTGTCAACCTTTTTGTATTCTTTTTAGGCTTTCTTTAAACACTGGCCCAAAGACATATCCTTAAGGATACCCACTCAAGACTGAGTGATTCAAGAGACCTCAGAGAACAGAGCTGGATCTGACTGAGGAGCATCACAGGCTAGCCACCATTAATTCTGGGCAACTCTTCTGTTGAGAGTGTTGTTCCCTGATGAATCAGCAAGCCTAATAAATGTTATCATTTCTTTGGCATAAAAGTCCACTGGTGGTTCCTGCTGACTCAGACACTCAAATCCATTTTTGAAAAAGTAGCATTTTCCAGCATCATCAACTATACAGAACATACCTGAAAACTTTGGAGTTTGGTGCTTATAATGGAAGCTATGAAGTCCAAGGCCAACTGTGCACTGAATGCAAGTTGTACCATAATGATTTTTCATCCAACCAAAGAAGAGTTTAATGATTTTGATAAGTATATTGCTTACATGGAGTCCCAAGGTGCACACCGCGCAGGCCTCGCCAAGGTGATTCCACCCAAGGAGTGGAAAGCCAGACAGACCTACGATGATATCAGTGACATCTTAATAGCAACTCCCCTCCAGCAGGTGGTCTCCGGGCAGGCAGGTGTGTTTACTCAATACCATAAGAAGAAGAGAGCCACGACAGTGGGGGAGTATCGCCAACTGGCAAACAGCATAAAATACCGGACTCCACCACACCTGGATTTTGAGGATTTGGAGCGAAAATACTGGAAAACCCGTCTCTATGATTCTCCGATCTATGGTGCTGACATCAGCGGCTCCTTGTTTGATGAAAACACGAAGGAGTGGAACCTTGGGCACCTGGGAACCATTCAAGACCTGCTGGAGCAGGAGTGCGGCGTGGTCATCGAGGGCGTCAACACCCCCTACCTGTACTTCGGCATGTGGAAGACCACCTTCGCCTGGCACACGGAGGACATGGACCTGTACAGCATCAACTACCTGCACTTCGGGCAGCCCAAGACTTGGTACGCCGTGCCCCCCGAGCACGGCCAGCGCCTGGAACGCCTGGCCAGGGAGCTCTTCCCGGGCAGCGCCCGCACCTGCGAGGCCTTCCTGAGGCACAAGGTGGCTCTCATCTCGCCCACGGTCCTCAGGGACAACGGGATCCCCTTCAATCGGATCACCCAGGAGGCTGGCGAATTCATGGTGACGTTTCCCTACGGCTACCACTCTGGCTTCAACCACGGCTTCAACTGCGCAGAGGCCATCAACTTCGCCACCCCGCGCTGGATCGACTACGGCAAAGTGGCCTCTCAGTGCAGCTGCGGGGAGGCCAGGGTCACCTTCTCCATGGACGCCTTCGTGCGCATCCTGCAACCTGAGCGCTATGAGCTGTGGAAGCGCGGGCAGGACCGGGCTGCTGTGGACCACACGGAGCCCACGGCCGCGGACAGCCGGGAGCTGAGCGCCTGGAGGGGGGTGCGAGCCCCGGGGAGGGCCGCGCTGGGCCTGAGGCACCTCCCACCGTGCCGCGCCCCGCGTGCCCCTCGACCCGTGGCGGCAGGTCAGGGCACCCGCCGCCGCACCCCTCTGCGCCCGGCCTCTCCGCGCCCCTCGCCCACCCAGAGCTGCTCCTCTGATGGCCGGGCTGGCGCTGTTGCCGGCCGCACCTCCCGGGGGCCCGGCCCCACCCGGCCACCGACCCTCACTCCCTCTGCCCCAGATCTGCAGCCCTCGACTGGTAGGTGTGGTCCTGGTCGTCGTCCCCGGCAGCAGGGGGCTCAGGGATCTGGCACCCAGGCCCGGGCCAAGAGGCGCCTCTCGGTGGGAACCGGGCACACAGCTCAGCACTCGGAGGCTCAGTCCCTGCCTGTGGGTGGAGGCTGGATGGACAGCCCTGCACCGCTGAGTCCCGGGCTCCAGCAACCCGCTGAGGCTTCCTGGTCTGGCTGTGCCCCTGTTCCTTAAACCCAGGGGGCACCTTTGTAACCCACTGCTCTTGTGTGTGGAGGCTGCTGGAGACTGGCCACATTAACAACAGATCTTTGGGCAAGCTTGCAAGTCACAGGTCTTGCTTGAGAGTCCTTTGATGTTGCCACTGAGGCGTTGAGTCCATGTTCTTTACCAAGTTTGCCATAGTTGTTCTTCCTGCCAGACCCTAGGATGTCTTTGGACATGCTGATTTCCCATGTTGCCAGCAGGTTTCATCCACTAGGCACTCTTGTGTCTCTGTGAACTGGGTCCTGCCAAGGTCACCAGAGCCTCATCTCCTGTCCTCTGGGCCAACTATAAATGCTGCTGGGTTTGGTTCTCCTCAATCTCCTTCCCTGTCCACTCCCCCCTTCCCTTTCCCGTTTTCTTGAAAAAACTAGGGCCTTTTGACCAAATGGGTCAGTAGAGACTCGGAAAATAATTCATCATCTTTCTGAGTCTTTGATGTTATTCAAACTGTGTTCTCATCAGTATTTGTTCACAAACATATTAAAGGTAACCAAAATGTTCAAATCTTACTGTTTCTAATAAATATTGTCCATTCAACCAATTGAGGTATGAAGGTTGTTCTTTTCTGTACTTTTTTTTGATAATTGTATCAAAACATTTCTGATTCATCAAAACAAGACTGATTTTTATTGGCTGGCTGCACTGTGTATGCAATAATCTCTGCATTCATTCATTGATGAATGAGTTTGGTGGATGGTTATTGGGTACTAGCCGCCTGGTGGGGTGAGGGGGTTTGATTTGCAACTCCACCTTAAGGATGACTTGGTGAGAATCCCCTGGTACTTTGCTGCGCAGAAGCACCGAAGCTGCTGGGGGGTGAGCGTGCAGAAGGCTAACGTACCATCATCTGAATATTATCTCCCCGAGCGTGCACTGCCTTTTCAATGCTGTCTGCATATTTCACGTAGCAAGTTCATCAATTCATCCCAGTAAACATGTGCACAAATAAATGAACAAGATAACTTCACCTGATAATATGTGCTGTGAAGAAACTAAAAGGGGATGGGATGCTAGAGCAGAATGGGCAGAGGCTGGTCAGGGTTCCAGTAGTCAGGGGAAGTTTCATTGAGCAGGAGACCCTTTCCAAGACCTAACAGGAAGGTCTACAGCTGATTTCCCCTTAGAGGAAACAAGCATTGTAATAGACTGAACATGCAACTTATGTTTTCTCAGGAAGAAATAGAAAGCTCATTTGAGGCATAGAGAGGAAGGAGAGAGACAGGGTACAGGGAGCAGGCTCTTGTGGCTCATGTAAAGTATTTGAACTCTTTTCACCTTGAAATGAGAAGGCAGCCCTCAACTTGCTGTGATTTACATTTTTAAACAAGCAGCTTTTCTGTGACAATTGGGCAGAAGAAGTACTTAGAAGGTCTAAGTAACACTAGAGAGAATTGATGGTTATTTCAATGTTAGTATTGAAAATGCACAGAAGTGGAAAAACTCAGAATAAACCTTGGAAATTGAAAATTATGGTTTGGCTACAGAAGGAAACATTTCAGAGAAGCAAACTACCCCTCTCCTCCCTCCAGCTCTCCCCCACAGAAATTGAGCAAAACTCTGGAATTGGAAGCCCCATATAAACCTGAAGGCAAGAGTAATGAAAGGTAGTGCTAGTCTGAAGTGCTAATTGTGGGGCAGCAAAAACCTGTGTCTCATTTCTACACTACGCAGCCAGGCAGCTTCGTCTTTCCTAATGGGAGGTGGAAGTCTACTCAGTAGCAGACATACTCCTATTTTCCATTTTAGAAATTGAAATTCTCATTATATGTCAGTAATATCACAATCTCTTCTTCCCTGGCAGATAGATGCCCTGGAAAGTCTGGCATTAAAAGAGGGCTGAGGGAAGGATTAAAGGGGGAAAAACAATTTTCAGAAAATATTTTTCTCATTGCACTCCTATGTTTTTTTTTTTTTAAGATTTTATTTATTCATGAGAGACACAAAGAGGGAGGCAGAGACATAGGCAGAGGGAGAAGCAGACTCCATGCAGGGAGCCCGATCCTGGAACTTAAGGATCACGCCCTGAGCTGAAGGCAGACCCTCAACCACTGAGCCACCCGGGTGTCCCCTCCTCTATGTATTGAATGTGATTTTCTATTTCTTTGGCTCAGTAGGGACAAGCAATATTAAGAATATAGTTTAGCTGTATCGATACACTGTTTTCTAAACTAGTATTCTTGAAACGACTGGAGGTGGGGTGGTATTGAAGGGGCTTCTTCAAGTAATTTTATTCAAAATCCTATTTTACTTTGTGTCGACCCACTCAATTTGGACCTTCAGTTTGGACTTCTCAGTAAAAGACACTCATCTCTTGCTGTTTCTCTTTGTCCAATAAGTTTTTCCTATACTCAATCTTGGAAAAGCAAGAGGTATAACAGTTGTACAAAGGCCAGGAGAGTGCCACCTTTGTTTTCATGCCATGCTCTCTCCTAGGCCTCTCTTCAGTTCTGAGAAATATTCAGTGTATATTCAAGTTTACAGACAAAAATATATGCAGCCAAAGGTAATATGACATGTGTGGTTTTATCACTTTTATCCCATTACCTTTTTAAAAAATATGACATTCACAAGCTCTAAAGACATTGCTATATATAGATCTTAATCCAAAAAGGAAATGATCTGGTGTCAATTTTTATTTTATTCATCTTCTGCTGATGAACAACCAGATTATTTCCAAATATTTCATAATTCAAACAATGCTTTACTGAACAGCTTTGTACAAAGACATAGGATTACTGAGTTGTATTTATGTTCATTTTCAACTTTCTTAGAACAGTCATATTGGCCTCCAATTTATATCTCCACTGGCAGTGTGGGAGAGTTCTGGTTTCTCCATATCTTGGCCCATTTAAAAAATTATCACATATTTTTATTATTCCTAATATAAATGAATAAAAACTAGTATTTCATTATATTTGTCTCATTGTTATTGATCCTGCAACATCTTTTAATATTTATTGGCTGTTTGGATTTTTTTTCTTTTGTATATTGCCTATTCTCAGGCTTTGCCTACTTTTTGGGAGTTGACTTTTTTATTTTTTAATCTGTAGAAGTTTTGTGATATTCAGGATACTAATTCATTGTTTTTTATATGATGAAAAACTTCTAGACTGTAATATCTTTTAATTTTTTTATGTAATTGAATTAGGGTTCTGTAGAGAAACAGAACCAATAGGGTATCTAGATACACATTAGAGGAGCTTTTGTTATAGGAATTGATTCACAGAGGCCAAGAAATCCCATGATCTGAGGGACTGATGTTCTGCAAGTTGGAGAACCAGAAATGTGAAATTCAGCATAAGTCCATAGGCCTGAGAATGTGGGAGCCAGTGGTCTAAGTCTGGGTCTGGGTCCCATCAACCTTAAAAACAAAAACCAGTTATTTTACTAGCAAAAGATAGGTTGATTTGGGAATGAAAGAGGACTGCAGTCTGGGACAAGCAAGCCAAGGCAAAACTGTAGGCAAGTCCAGGGAACAAAGGAGACCTGCTTTTTAAGAAGAAAGGTAAGTTGGGAAAGATGTTATAAATTAAGTCCACTGGAGTAAACTGAAAGTTTCAAGTGTGGTGGATTTTCATTGGCTGGGTTTGGCCTGAGATGAGGAAAGCGTCTCTTCCTCCAGCTAGAGTACAATAGTATTCACCTGCAAGACAGACTATAAGGTCAAGTCTGTTTCTTCCTGTTGAATCTGCCATTAACTATGAGTGGTAGGGCATGAGAGCTCCCCCTGCCAGAACTTACCAACTCCATTTTACTGAGGTTTCCCACTGTTAATTTTCACAGTCCAATAGCCTGGGAACCAGAGGGACCTATGTCTGATGCTCCAGGACCAGCAAAGACAATGTGTCAGCTCAAGCAGAGAGACTGAATTTACCTTTTCTCTGCTCTTTTTTTCTAATCTGGCTCTTGATGGCTTGGATCATCCCGCCCATGTTGGTAAAGGCGGTCTTTACGCAGTTTGCTGACCACAAATGCTAATCTCTTCCTGAGACACCTATGCAGACACACCATCAGAGTTATGACATTGGAATCAGCTGAATATACCAGATATTTCTGTCATAGAGCTGTTGGTTCTTTAAGATATTTTTTTTCACCCTGAGGTCAAAAAGACATTCTTGAATATTTTCTCTATTAGTCTTAAAGCTCTGTTTTGAATCTTAGTCTGAAATCCATCTCCAATCTTTGGAAGTGGTGTAAGGTAGAGCTCTATTTTTTCCCTCTTAAAAATAGTCCATTCCCCCCCCCCAACCAGTTTGGTGCACCACCTCCATTATATATAGATTTCCGCTTACAAGGTATCTTTTTTTTAAAATTTTATTTATTTATTTATGATAGTCATAGAGAGAGAGAGAGAGAGAGAGAGAGAGAGAGAGAGAGAGAGAGAGAGAGAGGCAAAGACATAGGCAGAGGGAGAAGCAGGATCCATGCACCGGGAGCCTGACGTGGGATTCGATCGTGGGTCTCCAGGATCGCGCCCTGGGCCAAAGGCAGCCACCAAACCGCTGCACCACCCAGGGATCCCCCACTTACAAGGTATCTGTGTCTGGTCTCTCTGTCTTGTACATAGATGTGTTTGTCCATTGCAACTCAACTATCACAGTCTGATAGTGGAGAAGTAACCCTTCTCTGTCCTCCTTATAAAGAATAATTGGAGATTCTTGTCTGAATATCTGACTCCACCACTTACTAGATCTGTCACCTTGAGCAAATTGCTTAGTGTCACCTTGACTCAATTTCCTTACATGAGAAAGCTGATGATTAATAGGATTTTCCTGACAGGGTCATTATGAAGATTCAATGAATTATCTATGCAGCCTATTTTGAACAGTGTCTAGCATTTGATAGTCACCATATGTATTAGCTACTTTTAATAATATATGTACTATTAGAGGTAAAGAGAGACTTCTGTTCATCAAAAGATATGGAAAAGAGGGGCACCTGGGTAGCCCAGTTTGTCAAGCAGCTGA